TCTTCTGTCTTTCTGTTTGCTCTACTTTGTTTCTTGTTACTTTCTAGCATTTTCTCTTCTAACCTTGAATTTTATCAAGTTATGTTCTTGATTTCTCTTTTGAATCCTATATGTCAATGAGGTTAAGAAAGTTTTGACCCCTAAAATTAAGGACCATAATGTGGGCCATGAATTATGGGAAGAGATTGGTTGCTAAGTAGGTTGATCAAATATTCCAGTGTTATTCGTCCAGCAGTTCATATGATATGAATTGTAGTTGTGTAGAAACTAGCTGCTGGTAGTTAGTTTTTTTGTTAGAAACTGCATGATGGTAGTTATTTGTAGAAAATAATTGCCGGTAGTTATGTATTAGAAGTATATATCTGATTGTAGGTTGTGTAATTAAGCAGTGTGAAGTTATTTGTAATTTGTGGACAGAGAATATTCAATGTAGAAGACTTCTATCGCTGGGACAACAATTATATTGTTGTATTTTGCATGATTTCAGTGTTCAATATGAATGTTTTATTACTCGTATCAATTGTTGTTCTGTCGTCATAAATATGAAAGCATAAGCCAAAGGCAATTGTTCCTGTTAGGATGATTAAATATTCCTGTGTTATTCCTCCAGCAATTGGTATAAATTGAGAATTGAGGCATAAGCTTGAGGCAATTGCTTGTTCGTCAACCTTAAAGTTTCTATATATTGTCTCTCCCTATCCAACTCTTCCAAATTTCTCTTTTCTACAAAATTTTTCAACACAGCTCAAGGCTGTTTCAAGGGAATAGCTCTATATATGCAAAGATTGGGCAGCATACTGCATTTGTGGGGCTTCTTTAATTTGAGAATTCTTATTTTTGTTATTTTTAGTTACAAAAATGGTACCTTATTTTCTATTTTTGAAGGTTTGTTTAGGAAGCTTTTATTGAATTTGCTACTGAAGTAATTTGTTCATGAAGTTTATCCCAGCTGCAATATTTAAGACAAATATATCACGAAGTTTTTCTTTGGTTTCACTATTGCTTGAGGTCCTTGTTGTAGCACTTTTAAAAGGTAATATTCTCAATATTGGTCTTCTTATGCCTTTCTTTCACCACTTTAACTTTGATTAATCTCTGTATATGATTTTTCTTGTGATACATTTTGCTTAATCTTTTTGGTTGTGCATGCCAAGTCTTTTCATGTGATGAAAGATACGTTGGTATAATAATTTCATTTTTTTATAATAAAGTTTAATCAAACACTCACTGTCTGTATCTTTCTTTCCCCCTCCTATTCCTAGTTCTCGCACCTACCATGTTACTATATTAACTAGCGTAGCATAGCAACACAAAGAGAATAAAAAGCCAAAAGCTACGTCGTTTTCATATTCTGATTTGAATTGATCTCATAGTCTCACTCTCCGGATGGCACGCGCTCAGGCCACCCACATTACCAATTATTCATATTTCTAGTCCCTGCTTTCACTTTCCCTTATTTTTCGTCTCTGCAAACTTCTTTTTCCCACTTTTTAATTTCTCTACATCTAATTATGTAATATATTTTGACTAGTAATTTCCTTGATCATTCATATAAGCATGATTCTCGTTTTTGTTTAATTTACCCGGCTGCTATATATACATGTTTACACTTCACAATACCATTTTCCCGTTTCAAATTTGAAGAGTTTTTTCATTGGTGTGGACTTCTGGTCAAAGTTGTTCCACATTTTTATGTGATGAAAATGAACATATTATAAACTTTATGTCCTTCAATGCATTCAGTTGGAACAAGTGTGAAAGAGAGCATTCCTTTTGGCCAAAGAGTCTAAAACATTGGACGTTGGTTTTGTTGCTAGTTTTTTTTATCATGTTAAGGCCCACTGGAAAAATGTCACGATAGTAACTCCTAGTGATCCATCAATTCCGTTAAATTTAATACCAAGATACTAAAACATTCAACATTTACTAGATTTATTGTATATACATCCTGTTTATATTTATATAGTAATATTTGACACTTTTATACATGTTTTACACATTATATATACAAGTAACTCTAAATGTATGACTGTAAATAAAAGTAATAGTTTCCATTGCTAATTGAGAATTTCACTAAATATAGTTGTCGATTACAATTTAATCCCTTTATGACATGTTATAGAAATCTAAACTCAATGCTGCTTTGGGTCTTAAGCTGTTGATCATAAGTAAGATCGTCTAGCTCTGTTAGGCCACTGAAGTTAGGCTTGTAATTATGAACTTTGACTATAAAATGAGACTTGTGAATTCAATAACAATCCTCTTGCTCTTGGCTGTGCTGCATGCATCTTATTCCGTTTGGGTTTCTTATTTCAACATTTCATTTTTCAATTCTAATTTCACTACATCTGTGTTTTCACGTCATCATTGATTTTGGATGGAGGTCATTTTTTTTATTTATACTGCATTTTTAAATTTTAATTCAACAAAATTTGTGTTGATTTTGATTCATCGAGTTTCTGCACCTTTTTTATATTTGATTTTATTACATGTTTGTAGGAACAAATTGAAGTAGGTTTGACTCAAAGCATAGTTGATAAATCTGAAGTTTCTCCTCTAGATGTTGTTGGTATAGTGCTAGGGCCAGAGCACTCCAGGAGAGTACGATGCATGGGATTGGGTGCTGTTCCTTCTAATAGATTTAGGAATACAAGACGTCGCGTTTCTAGCTTGAGTTCTTCTTCATCTGGTGTTTCCTTTCCATCTTTAAACCAATGGCAAGAGAAATACAACAATCTAGAATAAGCTTTTAAAGCCTACATGATAATGAAGGAAGGAAGGATCCCTGGAGAATTAGCTAGTTATTTCACTCCTGAAACACATGTAAGTAATTAATGTGCATACATTATTATATAATATGTGTGGTATCTTTATCTACATGGTTTGTAGCATGATTCTACTGCAATTTTTGGTATTGGTGGCTATTTTGTTGGTTCATACTCTTTAGTTGCAAGGTTTATATCATGATTCTGCTGTAGTTTCTGGTTAGAATGCTTGTTTTGTTGGTTCATGGTCTTTGGCTTCATGGTTTGTTGCATGATTTCTACTACAATTTCTGGTTTGGTTGGTTGCTTTGTTGGTTTATAATATTTGGCTGCATGGTTTGCAATATGATTTCTATTGCAATTTTTGGTTTGGCTGGATGTTTTGTTGGTTCAGTTCTAGTTTTGGTTGTTCAGAGTCTGAATGGACTACTCTCAGTCCTTGGTTATTGGGTTGGGAACTAGTTGGCTGCTACACATCTCTGGTTTGGTATTATGGTTTTGGCTTCATGGAGTTGTTGGTCTGTAGTTCTAGTTTTAACTATGGGTTATGTTGTTGGTTACATTAATTGGTTGGTCTGTTTTGGTCCTTGGCTAATATAGTCATGGGTGTTTGGAATTGTCATTATCATATAATATTTGTGATATATATTTTTCTTGACTGAGTGTTTTTTCTTTTCTTATTTCAGCCAAACGACGCTTCAAGTGTTCCTAATACACCTTTGGATGCAAGAGGATCATCTGGTGCTAGCAACCCTTAGTTTGCATATATTGTATTTTGGATTTAAAGTTTAGTATGAGGCTAATTTGACAATGTTATGGATTTTATGTTGTACTTGGATTTATAATAGAAGTTTGAATTATAAATCTTTGAACTATATGTTGTGTTTTTGGTTATTAGTAATGGAATTTCTTCATCCATTTTATGTGTATTTTTTTTCATTAAGTTTCTTATAAATATCAAAAGTGAAAATGAGAAATTGTAATACATGTAGATTATGCAATTAAAATGGGTATAAAAATTATTATACAAAGGAAAATAGGGAGGATTAGAAACTCCATAAAAATATATTGATTAATGATTGTAATAGTTAATTTACTTTAAAACCTCCACTAAATAATCTTTATTGTTATTCCACTTCAAAGCCTCCAGTAAAAAAACCTCTACAATTAGCATAGCTTTAAAACCTCCTTTAAAAAACGCTTAAACTACCACGCACCTCCCTCTTATCAAAAAATCACATTCGACGTTTGAGTGGCATCCGCTTGAGAGGGAAAGACAGCTGCTCTATGAACAACCCTAGTTGTTGGTCCTGTTTATGCTACTAACTACCACCTCTGCTCCATCCCATTCTTTATGTTAAAAAGAAAAGAGTTTCTCCTCTCCGATCGATAGGCCAGCAAAGGCCTTCTACCGCAGCCGAGCCCATTCGCTTCGTCGTTAACAAGGACGAGCTTGTTGCCGTGACTATTGACACCGCTCTCAAGTCCTATGCGCGCAAGGGAAGGCTTCCCCTCCCTGAAACCATTCCTCCGCTCTCAGATCATACTTTTCCCAAACACCGCTCCCACTTTATTTATTTATTTTTTATTTTTTTTCTTTATTATCATTTCTGAAACTACTTTTCTACGCCGTTCTTGCAGCTTAGAGTCAATCTCTTAGGGAAGGTTCTCTTTCATCTGTCTTTCCTAGGTGCACATCTCCATGTACTAAAAGTAAGGGTGGTTACCATATAATTGATACTTTGATAATTCCCTGGCTTGTATTTCTGTCTCACTTTCCCTGATTGCGCATATGTCTTTATTGTTGGAAGCCATTCTTCAAGAAAGATAATTGAAAGGGTTTGCAACTCAAATTCCATATTTGGGATACCTCAAAAATTAATGGAACTCATTTTGCTTAAGAAATTTAATGTATTACCCTAGAACATACAGAGTGCGTAAACTGATAAAGGAAAAATAAAGGAAGAATAAAGGAAGTTTCCCATAAATTTAACGTTGCTAATTTGGACCCAATATTGAAATGGAATAGACTTGTTTTAGTGTACTTATTGTTCTGTTACTCAATTAAAATAATAATTGTTAAGTCAGCTCAGTTAGATGAATAGATTTTTGTTAACCTTCAGATATATATACACACACACACACACACACACATATATATATATATATATGCAAATCTAGCTAACAGAAAACACAATAACAATTAATCAGAATTAAAATTCAGAGAATCTCCATTTTCTCCAAACTTCTCTTTTTCATTTTACTAAACTTTCTAGCATTTTCTCTTCTAACCTTGAATTTTATCAAGTTATGTTCTTGATTTCTCTTTTGAATCCTATATGTCAATGAGGTTAAGAAAGTTTTGACCCCTAAAATTAAGGACCATAATGTGGGCCATGAATTATGGGAAGAGATTGGTTGCTAAGTAGGTTGATCAAATATTCCAGTGTTATTCGTCCAGCAGTTCATATGATATGAATTGTAGTTGTGTAGAAACTAGCTGCTGGTAGTTAGTTTTTTTGTTAGAAACTGCATGATGGTAGTTATTTGTAGAAAATAATTGCCGGTAGTTATGTATTAGAAGTATATATCTGATTGTAGGTTGTGTAATTAAGCAGTGTGAAGTTATTTGTAATTTGTGGACAGAGAATATTCAATGTAGAAGACTTCTATCGCTGGGACAACAATTATATTGTTGTATTTTGCATGATTTCAGTGTTCAATATGAATGTTTTATTACTCGTATCAATTGTTGTTCTGTCGTCATAAATATGAAAGCATAAGCCAAAGGCAATTGTTCCTGTTAGGATGATTAAATATTCCTGTGTTATTCCTCCAGCAATTGGTATAAATTGAGAATTGAGGCATAAGCTTGAGGCAATTGCTTGTTCGTCAACCTTAAAGTTTCTATATATTGTCTCTCCCTATCCAACTCTTCCAAATTTCTCTTTTCTACAAAATTTTTCAACACAGCTCAAGGCTGTTTCAAGGGAATAGCTCTATATATGCAAAGATTGGGCAGCATACTGCATTTGTGGGGCTTCTTTAATTTGAGAATTCTTATTTTTGTTATTTTTAGTTACAAAAATGGTACCTTATTTTCTATTTTTGAAGGTTTGTTTAGGAAGCTTTTATTGAATTTGCTACTGAAGTAATTTGTTCATGAAGTTTATCCCAGCTGCAATATTTAAGACAAATATATCACGAAGTTTTTCTTTGGTTTCACTATTGCTTGAGGTCCTTGTTGTAGCACTTTTAAAAGGTAATATTCTCAATATTGGTCTTCTTATGCCTTTCTTTCACCACTTTAACTTTGATTAATCTCTGTATATGATTTTTCTTGTGATACATTTTGCTTAATCTTTTTGGTTGTGCATGCCAAGTCTTTTCATGTGAATGACTTCCTAACCAAAGCTAGGAGTGACTTCCAAAACAATACTCGTCAATAAAGATTCAGTAAATAACATCATCATGGGATGGGATCCCTCCACCAATGATGACAACAAAATATCAAACTAAAAAAGGCAAGCTTCGTAAATGTTGAAAAAGTCGAAGCATTTAGAAAAATAGCAGAAAAAGGCAAGCTTCAAACATGAAAGAGCCGAAGCTAAATAAAAAATGAAATTCAGAAGAAAAAAAACCCTACAACAAGCAGACGCCTGGAGAGGCATCACAATAATTCTGATTTTTTTTAGGTTCAGAACGGCCTGTTCCGAAAAGCGGAACGGACTATTCCCAAAAAGTGGAACGGGCGTTCCAAAAAGTGGAACAGGCCGTTCTAGGGTAATAAAATAGCCTAAAATTGTTAGTTGGAAACGGGCCGTTTCAAGTATGGTCAACGTGGGTTAAAATCATCCCCAGAACGGGGCGTTTTGATTTAAGAACGGGCCATTTTGGTGTTGAGAACGGGTCGTTCCACTTATGATTATCTGTGTAAAAAGGAATCCCAGAATGGGCTGTTCTAATTTTAGAACGGGCCGTTCTGCTATTTGAAAACGGACAGTTCCGATTTTAGAACGGGCCGTTCCAGTGGAAAAATTTGCCTATATTCGAAGGAGGAAGAGAGAGAGAAAGAGAGAGAGAGAGAGAAAGAGAAACAGAAAGAAAGAGAGGGAAAGAAAGAGGGAATCCAGAGGAGGAGGTCCTGCCCAAGTTTCAACTCCTGCTTATCCAGGTAAGGGGAGAGTGAGAAACCTCGCTCGAGGGTGTGGGGATAATTGTTAGATAGTTTGTTTGTCAGATTGGCCCCCAATCCCTTGCCTGTTGTTCTGTCTTTCTGTTTGCTCTACTTTGTTTCTTGTTACTTTGTTTCTTGTTACTTTGTTCCTTGTTACTTTTTTCCTTGTTACTTTGTTCCTTGAAAGTAATAAATGAATATGGAATTAATGCTAAAACTAAATAAGTTTTAATATGAAAAAGAATGTTCTCTATGAATTCCTATGCGGACCTTATGAAGAGTATTTATGACATGACCATGTAAAATATAGACAAATGACATGAGACTTAAGAATGGACTATTGAGACAAGTTGTGATTATAAGAATATGGAAAATAATGACATGATATACTTGATGAAATTCTGTAATAAGTTAAATGTTGAGTCCATGAAATAATGAAGGTATGACATGCATCATATGCATATATTACTTCAGGTGTGCTGCTGAGGCCGCAGACCAACGATGCTAACTAGGTGTACCTTCGGGTCACCCACGACGTAACATGCTAACAAGGTGTACCTTAGAGTCACCAGTGATGTAACTAGGTGTACCTTAGGGTTACCAATGATGAATTGTGAATCTTCCGTATGGCGCCACATGCATGCATTTATGAGTCGAGTCCATGACATCATAAGCATGATAAATGAGTATATATGTGATATTTGATTATTTATGTGTATTGTTTACATGTGACTTATATTTGTTGTGCGTGTATGTGCTATCTAACCTTTATTTCTTCACCTAAAACTAAGTGAGATGTTTCTCACTCCCTTGTTGTTTTTGTATGTGTTTAAATTATGTTGCAGGCGATCAGCATCATGAGGATGTGGTTGGTTGATGAGGCTTAGGCTTCAGTTAGACATGCTCTAATAGGATGTGACATCGAGGCATAGCTAGCTTAGTTTAATATGTTATTGTTTTAATAACTTTAGTTTCTCTTCTTTTGTAATTTCTAACGAAGTTTATAATCCAATAAAAGACCCAAATATGCATCTTTGTTATATTTTTATTACATGATTTAGAAGTTATAAATTAATCCCTAAGCAGGAGGCACCGCCACCTTTTCTGGAGTTAATTTATATTTCCTTTATTATTATTTGTATATATATATATTTTCTTATTTTTCACTAAATTGTATTGAAAATCTTAACTTCTTTTCTTTTATAATTTCTACATTGGAGTGATGATTTATGAGTTATGAATGTGAATCTTCTACCTTGTGATATTTGAAACATTTGTCAACTACGAAAAATTTTATTTACTCAAAAAGAGAAAAAAAATTGTTTACATTTATTTTGTATTAATGTTGGGGTAGAAAGGTGTCACATCTTCAAGTTTAAAAAATCATGTGATAGCCAAATGCATGTTTAGCATCACGAATGTGACTTTTGTAATAAAATGCTTTATGAAATAGAGGCTTAAGGGAGGCGAATATGAACATGTCATCGTTGATATTGCCTGAAGGTTAATAGGCAATGTTTTTTGAGGGATACGATTGAAGATTGATGCAAGGCTGTACAAAGGTTACCAAATAAATGATGGTGGAACTATTTTGACGACGCATTAGGATTTTGAATCAGTTATTTCCGTAATCCAATTTGATTTTCCAATTTTGAATTTCTGCACCTCATTAAAATCAACTATATTTATCGTTTCAGCGAAATAATTATGATTTTTTTTAACAAAATAAAACCACAAACGCAGAGACAACTTAATTTTTTTTTCACATCCTAACAAAATAAAATAGAGACACCTAGACAGTTACATCTCATTTTAGATTATCATTGTTGATTTATATTTTTCTAAAAGATTTCCTTTTGATGCTTCTACATGGGAGTTCAACAATTGCACGGCTATACATTAAAGCTCCTCTACTTTCCATGAAACACAACATTCAGAACATCAGAGTTCTGTCAAAACATATGAATCACAACAAAGTGGCATTGATTGCACATGATATAATCTTAGAATTTCAACCTTCATTGATGACAACATCTAAGGGCAAAATCCTTTTGTTGGAACCGAAGAACCGAGAACCCAAGGGACATTTCAATCAGTACCTGATCTCCTCTTGAATAGATTGTCTCCCAAGAGCCATTCCCTCGAAATTACTCAAAAAAAAACACCCATTAGTTAAATTTACCAAGTTCCATCTTCTTCTTGATAGCCCTCTGACCGTGATAGACAAATGAATCTAGTATTCCAGATACAGTGAAAACACCTATATGCAGTTAAACATCAAGTATGATTCTATTAGGACTCACAAATGAAATGATATCTGTCAGTATTCAAATCAAGTTTTGAAAGAATAAAGAGGAATAGTGGAAAATCCATATCTACCTCCAACTATGGCACACACATTAGTAAGAAAATGTAAGAATGAGACATTTTCTTCGATAAAAGTAACCTGCAAAATGTTATTTCAGTATAATGAGATCAAAGAGCAAGAAAGAAAAGAGAAAATGAAATAAAAGAAAAAACCTGGTAGAAGGAAAATAATAAATAAAAAGCTTGATTGCAATTACTGACTCTAATATTCCATATCTTAACATTAGTCAAAAGCCATAATAATCAGGGGTTAAAAAACTCACCTTAATTGGAGAAAGGTCATAGAAGAAGAAAACTCCGGGGAGGGACTGCAGGCGGCCTACATCTCCAGTCCTGAAGTGTTCTGTCACAGAGAACTGCAAGAACATTTCCAGTTTGTATTAAGTTTCACTAGCAAGAACCAAAAATAGATGCCAGAACACGAAATTTACAAGTTCAGCAACCTGGTTTGATTGAATAGTATGCCCAATCACATCAGTGTATACCGTAGGCACAACCTGGAAAAAAAATACAAGTGACAAAAAGTTGATGAGTTTTCGAACATAAATTTTTTTTGGTGCAATATTCCACCTATTAAGGAGCTAAGGGCTTCTCATAATGTCTTGGGGGGAAAGATGACAGAAGGTGCACATCTCACTACAGATGTGTCTAATATACTGATAACAACAAATTCTGATCCTGCAAGATTCATAGAACTTGTAGAATTAAAAGAAATAACAACTCAACTCACCAACATTTCCTTTTTTGTAGTAAACAGGCAATATTCATCAAGTAAATTATAGTTATATAAACCAAAAATACTAAAATTTGGAATGCTAACAACTTAGTATTAGTAATATGCAGTTTGTAGAGATACAAAAGCTAACCTTAATAAAGTACTGGTACATCCCACTTGGTGTTTCTTGTGTCCAATGCACACTGATAATCAAGAAAGGAATGAAATGAAAATAAATACAATAATGAAGTTTGATAAACTGTTGATTGGATTTGAGGCTACTAGAATATGAAGAGCTCACTTATCAAGAGGATTAACAACACCAGGGAAATACTCTCCAAATGCTAATCTGTTGATGTGGTGACTTAACTAAATTACATGTTGTAGACAAGTTAGTGTCTTGAAATATTAGAATTGAGAAAAAATTTGTTGCCAAATAATAACAAAGTATTATAATATGTTGCTCTTGAAATTTCACGTCTAGTAGGAATTGCAATAAAAATTTGCAAACGGAATACAAATTAACATCATGTCTTACATTAAAAGAATCCTTTTGAAATGCCAACAGGTCATGTACATGTACGCCAGATTGCTGAAAGCTTTTCCCAGGTGCAAAATGAAAATTCCCTGCCACCTTATTTACTTCCAAGAAACCATACACATTGCATCCTTCACCTTCTTCATCCTTGATTCTTTGTAAGAATCCTTCTCTTTTGCACTAAATGACACATCATATGCCAAATAGGGGCTGGATTAAATTAACAATTTTACGTTGGCAGAAGAGTAATTTAAAAGAGGAGAATGAAGATATGTCGATAAGATAAGACCACCAATAATTGAAGATACAACTAAGTGAAATATGATAAGGAATCCATCCTTAATCCTTTGATAATTCAACATTTAAATTTACTAGTGAATAATCAAACTATAAGCCAAACTCTTTCATAACAATGCTACATAAGTGATGAACCCCGCTACAGAGTGATGAACTCTGCTCTAACGAAGTAATGGTTGCATGCCTACGACAAAGCCAACATGCAAACTAGGTGAACCCAGTTCAAAAAAGGTGAACAAACCCATCTCCAACTGAGGTGAACAACCCATCTGTAGCAAGGTTGACCCAACTGCAATTCTATGATGGTGTGTTTGGTTGTAGAATTTTAATGGAGTATTTCATTTTTTTTTAAGAATTTCAAATGTCTTAGGATGAAATGCTTTGTTTGGATGAAAAATTTACAAAGAATTTGAAATCCAAACATTTGTAAAATTCTTTAAAATAGTAGAATTTCAAATTCTTCCAAAAAAAGTAAGAATTTGAAATTCTTCATATTTATCTTTTATCTCTCTCTTATCTCTTAATTATTAAATATTCAAAAACATTTTTTAAATAATTAAATATTATATAATATTAATTTTTAAAGCTATTAAATATTTTTAAAAAATTGGATAATATTTATTTTTATAAAATTTAATCTTAAAATCTCAAATAT